CAGGATGACTAATCGATTCTTGAGATTTAAGAATCGATATCGGTTCGTAAAAATGAGAATCGATTAATTTCGAGAAATCGATATTTATTACCCAGCCCTACTGAAACCCCATTGACTCCCATTCATTCTGCACTCGACCACGAGCGCCCCCGCATGGACACAGACGTGTTACTGCAGCCAGTCCAGAACCCGGAGGTAACCAGCCAATGCCAATTCTCTTCAATTAGACATTCTCTGTTTTTGCTCAATGTCTTTTGAATCAGCTGGTGTTATGGTGATTATTAATGAAGTCAGTTCTTCTCAAGTTCACACAGCAGAGGAACCACATGTGAAGTTCATCACATTAACTATCACCATGATACACTATTGTTTTGATATATTGCAGTGGAGAGGTTTAAAAGTGTATTGCACAATGTTAAATAATCTTTGGTCTGATTGCAGGTGCGTTAAAACAGCTGTGTACTATAGTGATGCAACCTTACTCTTGCCACAGTTGGCCATCAACATAAACAGTAAAACTGAACAGAGGAAAAATGTCGCTCTTTCTGCTGAGAATGAACCATTTAGAGTATTTTTTTTATTGCCATTTATTTTTCAATGTCATTTTAGATTTTAGAACTGTTTATTTAAAGACAATACAATAGCTGAACATCAGACCAGTGCAAAATGATTAACATCTCAGGGTGAGCAATAGCTATTTCCATCCATCTATTTTTATGCAAATTTTGGGATATCGTTTTCAAAAATGCTGGATGGAAATGCCAAGATGCGCATAAATGTTTTATCTTCAAGGTCTGAGCCATAATGGCTTCCCCGATTGCAGCAATTTACATTTTTATTACTGATATTTTGCACAAAACACATGGAATAGAAACACTACTTTATTTGCAAATGTTTTATGCGATTATTTAAATTTTCATAGTTATTGTCTACAGTTTGAGTATTTGGTAGTTTAAAGTCTTTAATTAATATGAATTATTAATTCGCTGCATATTTTGTGGTTGATTATAAAAACACAAGTGAACCGTTATTCAAATGTTATTTTGGTCATATTTTCTTGTACCTTGTTTAGTTTAGTTCCTGGGTTTTAAGATTGAGCGTGACACAATCTGTCCATATTGACTTCTGACCTGTAAGCCTGAATCACACTGACACGGTGTTCATTCATTGGCCAGAGGAGAACTGAGCCTTGTTTCTCTCACGTTTTTTTTTTTTTTTTTTTTTCCTCCATTCTGTCATGATGAAGTTTGGGTTCCTTGCCTCTGTTTCCTCTCTCTGGCTTACTTAGTTGGGGAAACTTAATATTCAGTGATATTATTGACTTGACTACACACTGTAAAAAATATTTTCAAGATTTGTAATCACAACATATTTTCTTTTGTCAAATCAACTTTATAATAATTTATTTAGTTGAGATAACTTATTATTTTGAGTTTCTGATGGTTAAATTAATCTACTTCATTGTATTAACTCACTTTTTCCAGTTCAACCAACTTAAAATTTTAAGGCAACCCAGGTTACTTACTTTTTTAAGTTAAACCAACAATTTGTTTTACAGTGTAGTAATCACAACATTTTTTCTTTTGTCAAACGAACTTAAATAATTTATTTAGTTCAGATAACATATAATTTTGAGTTTCTGATGGTTGAATTAATCTCCTTCAAAACTCACTTTTTCCAGTTCAATGAACTTAAAATTTTAAGGCAACCCAGGTTACTTACTTTTTTAAGTATAACCAACAATTTTTTTTTTTTTTTTTTACAGTGCACCGACAAGTTTTTGAGAAGTGATTTGATTGACAGGGACAGTTAGTGTTCATGACACATGGTTTTACAGCCTAAACCCTCTGGCGAAACATTGCATTGCTTAATCAGGTCTGTGAAAGTAGGTCGGAAGTCACTCCAGGTTAAAGTGTGACTGAGGTGAGAGATGCACTCAACCTTTTGTGTGTGTCTGATTTTATTATTATAGTAAGCTTTTAATATATAAAATACAAACAATATAGCTTATTATAGCATTTAAAGTCATTATATATATATATATATATATATATATATATAAAGAGTTCAGATGCAAAAGTGCCATTTGAAATTTTCTTCTATAATGATCATTTTTATCAAGCTTGTATATTTACGTTCATTAATTTGACTTAAATGGGAATGAATATTACCTATGAATTGTCATTTAAGTGAAATCACTGAACTTAAATATACAAGCTTGATAAAAATTATCATTTTAGAAGAAAATTTCAAATGGCACTTAGAGGCTTTTGCATCTGAACTCTTCATATATATATATATATATATATATATATATATATATATATATACACACACACATATATATATACACACACATATGTATGTATATATATATGACATATTTTGCATAGAACATATTTTTTATTTTAGTTCATTAAAAAATTATATTTCTAACACAAACATGTCTTGCAAATTTTAAATCAATATCTTTTTGTGTTATGTGAAATGAGAAGGGCAGAAAAAAAATCAAAGCTACAAAATCAACCCTATTTTCAGTGACTTCAAAGTTAAAAGTTAGTTAGTTCAATAACTAGCTATATGTCAAAGCATGTCAGAACAGCTCCAGGACCCAGAAAACACCTCAGACCCCAGATGTTTAAGAGCAGATATGTTGAAGATTGGCTGTCGATTCATTAAACGATAAGCCATTTCCACACAAAAACAGGTTATTCAGCGTTGTCTCCCTGTGTGCTACAGGTTTTTTGGAAGGTGATTTTCCAATAGGAGTGAAGACTCTCAGTGGAGCTCACGTTACTGCCTCGAGTCCAGGTGAGACAGGAGTTCACAGTTTTATATGATTAGCCTGTAACTACATGCATGGATGTAATAAAATGAGAGGAAGTGGAGGAAGGTAAATGACATCAAGTTCCTTGGAGCCTACATTACGAAAAACCTCTCTTGGTCCATCAATACTTCTCATTTGGTGAAGAAAGCACAACGATCACAGCGGATCACAGTCACTGAGCTCCCGAGCTTAGATAGAGTGTATGCTAGTCGGTTACACACAAAGACCAGCAGCGTCATTATGCTGCCCTACAAAGAGGGTGGAACTGAGAAAAATGACCCCTTTTTGAGAATGGGGGTTAAAATGCACTATTCAAACTTAAATGGTTGTAATATACCCAAGTTTGGTCTTGTTTTAAAGAAAACACTCAGCAGAATATTGCTGAAGTGAAAACACTTCAAAAAATGAAAGGATAAAAAAGTTATGAAAGTTTAAATTTACAGTAAATCAAATGTACTATATATTTTTTATTTTATATAAAATATATATTTTACAAAATATTTTTTACTCTAAAATTTCTATAAAACCAAAGCCATAACTCTCATCAAGTTATGTTCCAAATTTGAAGTTGATATCACAAAAATTGAAGTTCCCATGAGATTTTGTTTAGGCGTAGTACCAAAAATAGCCACCGGGTGCCATTGAATTCCATCGAATTTAGTTGTATACGTTCTGCCTTAACAAATTAATAGATTTCTGTCCAAATGTCAATTCTGTCACAAAATTTGGAACCTTGAGACTCTGACCTTTCTGACAATATGTGTTTTGTCAAGATTAGAAAAGGTTTTGATAATAAATTATGAAATATAATGACGCACAAAAGGGGAGGAGCCTGATAAAATAAGTACCGTTTCAATTATAAAACAGTTTTCACACGATGAATTCTGAGTTTATAAGCTTTCAAATGATACCTAATTTATGATAACTACTAAAATATGTGATATAATAAAAAATGCGATAAAAAATAATATAAAATATCATTTTTAGAGGATAATATTATACTATAATTTTGTATTTTTTATTAAAAAATACTAAATATGTTTTATTATGAACTTTTAGCATAAAAACAGAAGTTTGAATGATTAAAAGTGGGTGCATCGACTTTTTGTGACAAAGGTCAAAACTCCTGTTATGATGCAGATTTTTTGAGGTGCACTCTTATCATAAATTCATCAATTACTCTTCCTACATCATTTTTAACACAAAACAGGGGTAGAATATCTATTTAGAAGTCTTAGACCTTTCCAACAATATATAATTTGTCATAATTAGATTAGGATTTAATAGAAATATAGTGAAGTAAATTTAGGCGTCCCGGTACCGGGACGGTGACAGTTAAGGGGCTAACCCTTTAACACGTAGTAACCTACAGAGAAATGGAGTGGAACATTACAGGGGTGCGTTTTTTCAATAGCCTTAATAATCAAATACTTCCCATCGATCATTGACTATTATTTTTGCTTTAAATCCCCATCCCTACAAAATACGAAATGTCTTAATTGGACAGCAGACCAGCACCATAGCATACGGAAGAAAGTATAGGCTTAAATAAATTAATAATAAAAAATACAATCAAGTAAATAATAAATAAAGGAATACAAGAGGCTCAGTAGTTTCTGCCGCATTATAGCCTATTATATTATTATTATTATACAAGTAGTTCGGCAGTTGTTGTTGCAGTTACGTGACTGTCTGACTAGTCTACACGTGGGGTGATGACATCATCGTTTCACAAAATATACGGATTGGCCGTACACACGAAAACGCAAGGGTGTCGTTTTCAGATTTATCCACCCTGGGACTCCGGATCCGTCTGGACGAAATGCCAATACGTATACAGCTAAACGCGTCTCTGTGTGGACAGGGCCTTAGAGTGTTGATAACCATTTGATAATATTGTCAAACCCATTGATCCTGTTGTTTGAATTCTTTTGAGATACTGTAGGTCTGCTGGAGGTTCACAACCATGGGTGATTTTCTATATTGTCTTTAGATGCTAAGTGCCTGCTAAAACAGGGGACCCTTAACACACCTTACTGCTGTGTGTAAGGTCAACACCTTTAAGGACTGCCCTCTGAATGCCTATAAGATACCATGTCAAGTTGCCTAAAATCAGATTTGATGACTGGAGCTACCATTAAAGAATCCTGCTCTGTAAATGCATATATAAATCTGCGAGTGCATCAGTTCAGAAGCTTAGAGAGAAAATGGCTGTAATCGAGTCACTTCTGCAGTTTCTCAGCACAGGAACATTACTGGGCGCTTTGCTGTTGCTTCTGGTTCTGTATTTGCTTTCCTCTGGATCCAGATCTCAGAAAGAGGGGAAAGAGCCACCGGGACCCAAACCTCTGCCGCTGCTGGGGAACCTGCTGACCCTTGACCTCGAGAGACCCTTTGACACCTTTTTTGAGGTGGGAACTTGATATGTTTAAAATGAATAGTGGCCTAATATTTTAAGATTTGTTTGTAAATGTCTTTCTCTGTGTCCTCCAGCTGTCCAAAACCTACGGAAACATATTCCAAGTGTGTTTGGGTCCCAGAAAATTTGTTGTTTTAGTTGGGTACAAAACTGTCAAAGATGCTCTCGTGAACCATGCAGAAGAGTTCGGCGACAGAAAAACTGAACTTGGTTTCAGGATAATGCATGGCGAACATGGTAGGATTCTTTGTCGTTGGGTTTTTTTTTTTTTCTCAAATCAACAGAAACGTAATGTACAGAACAAACTGTAAATGTTGAAAAACAAACATGTTGCAAATCCTTTCAGTTCCTCGTGGCATCTCAAGACTAATGCAACTATGTCATATATATTTTTAAGAAACATATAGCTATACATTTATCAATATACTGTAAAATCGAATTAGTTAAACTTACTTAAAAAAGTAAAAACTGAAATGGGAATAGAAGTGTGTACTGACAAATTTACATTTGCTAATTTACATTTGCATTTTGAGTACCCAGAAAATCGCTATATAAATATAACAAATTATTATACTTTAAAAAAATCATTATTGTTAAAATTAATACAAATAAATAACATTGCATTGTTTCCATTGTTTTGTTATGCATGCGGAATGTTGAAGTCTTTGTGTGACTCAAGAATTGTCAATTGCAAGATATTTTCACAAATATCAACCCAATTCAAAGTTTCACAAGTGTTAGCAATAAAATTGTAAAAGATCATTATTCAACAGGAAACATAAAGTTAATGATTTATTTAGAAGTTTGGTAACCTTTTAAAGGCAATCACTAAATAGCTGAGATTTCTTGTTGCATCACTGCATCAATGGGAAGAGAATCACAATAATATAAATGAAGTTGCAGGGAATTAATAACAACAATGTTCTCTCAAATTTCTCACTTGTATTTACAATTCAGTATTCAAGATGACTTTGGTAAATTAGTGAGATAACTGCAGAAGTGAGATAATAAGTGAAAAAGCTATTAAGAATTGCCCGCCTCAAAACCATTGTTGCTTGACAAAATGCCACTCAAAGCAATCAATTAATCTTAACATGGGAGTTAAAAAGTCAGTATGTGAATAGTACAGTTTACTAGATTTTTACAATTAAGGTAAGACATTAAGTAAAGTTAACTAAAAAGGGTTGGTTAGAACACCTGTTGAATTTTGCAATGTAGTCAGTGGTGAAATGACTTATTAACTTATTAACTTGACGTACAGTGAAAGCTTGCTTATTATATGTATTATATAAGTCCCAACGATCTAACGTTAATGTAATCCTTATCTGCTTGTGTTGTTGCTGAGACTGTTTTTGTCTGTGTTGATCAGGAATCCTCTTTTCCAATGGAGAAAACTGGAGAGAGATGCGACGCTTCGCTCTCAGCAACCTGCGGGACTTCGGGATGGGCAAGAGAGGAAGTGAAGAGAAAATCATAGAGGAAATTCACTATCTGAAAGGAGAGTTTGATAAGTTTGAAGGTACAAGCTGAAACACATTTATGGACATCTGCAATCATGCTCTTAGTTTAAAGGGATACTTCACCTCTGGGAAGATGAATGTGTATTTAATATTGGTCATAAGTTTCCTACGCCCCATGAGGCCTTGCGTTAAAAGTGGGCGCGACTTCCGGTTGGAAGTAAACAAAGCGCGACTTGACATGCTTGACACTCGTTCATTCAACAGTTGACAGTCATTCAAGTTATAGCGATCCAAACTAGCTAACGATGTGGGAACACAACCTCAACGAAATTCAAAAGGGTGAAATAACAGTACCTTTACCCTCCGCAGTAGTTGATTGGGAGTATTATAACATTATTAATAATCAATACTCACATGGCATGGTGAATTGAAATAAAAAATACACACTTAGTCATTGTGCTTTGGAGTTTTTTCAAAATTATAAATGAATGTGCTACTTGAATACATTAACTGGCACATTTGGTATTCTGTCAACGTGATCCTGAGTTTAGGTGTAACGTTAACATCAGTAACGAACAGCCAATCACATGCTGATAGAGTTTATAGAATATTAAGAATTTAAACAAATGTACACAGGAAGATTCGTCGTCTTTTGGGAGGTGATGGAAACTACAGTCGTTGGCAGGATCAGAGACGGGCTCAGGATCACTCTGATTTCGTTTTCAGCTTATGTTCAAAACAATCACGTTTAAGCCACTGAATTAGTTTAGTCTGGTTCTACATACAACCGCGAACAGCACATGTTGTCCCTGAGCTCCGCAACGACATCTCTCATAAAGATTTGCGTCTTTAAATAGTAAAATAATTCTCAGAAAAACAGCTAGCCTCTTTGCTAACTAACACACAAAAAACCATTGGAATGCTACTTCCTCACCGGAAGTTTTACCCACTTTTTTTTTTACAGGAGCGCCTCTCGGAAACTTGTGGATATAGTAGAAATGTGAAATTATTTTTGAAATTGAAGCATTGTAGACAGAAAAGGCAGAAAATGTATTTTTTAGTCATGTGGCTGAAAGACGACAACTCCTAGAATGCACTTTCTTTGCTGCCCTTACGAGGCCATCCCAAACCACGCCTACCAGCTACAGGCGTCAGAATCCAAAAAATGGATACAACTAGGCTTGCTTTGATACATCGTGTGTTACTTGATAAATTGATAAAATTCTCACCAGAAGAAAATGGCATCGCTGTGATTCAAGACAGCAATAGGACTATCTGTTTCCATAGGCGCACAGCGAAAGCACTCACACCGCCAGTCCGCCCCTGCTCAAGTCTGGCTGGTCTCAGGTCTTGCTCAAGCCGCCTCTTGTTCCTCCATCTCCCACATCTGTTTATCACTGTATTGCAGCTCGTAGAGGTAGCCGCGAGCATCAGATTCTTGCCCGCCCCTGCTCGAGACTCGAGCTACCTCTACGAGCCCCAATACAGCGATAAACAGATGCGGGAGACAGAGGAACAAGAGGCGGCCGGAGCGAGATAGACTCGAGCAGGGGCGGGCGAGAATCTGATGCTCCTGGCTACCTCTACGAGCCGCAATAGAGCGATAAACAGATGCGGGAGACAGAGGAACAAGAGGTGGCCGGAGCGAGACAGACTCGAGCAGGGGCGGGCGAGAATCGATGCTCCCGGCTACCTGTACGAGCCGCAATACAGCGATAAACAGATGCGGGAGACAGAGGAACAAGAGGTGGCCGGAGCGAGACAGACTCGAGCAGGGGCGGGCAAGAATCTCCCGTCTACATATACGAGCCGCAATACAGCGATAAACAGATGCGGGAGATGGAGGAACAAGAGGCGGCTGGAGCAAGACCTGAGCCCAGCCAGACTTGTTCTCTTGTTCCTCTGTCTCCCGCATCTGTTTATCGCTGTATTGCGGCTCGTATATGTAGCCAGGAGCATCAGATTCTTGCCCGCCCCTGCTCGAGTCTGTCTCGCTCCGGCCGCCTCTTGTTCCTCTGTCTCCCACATCTGTTTATCGCTGTATTGCGGCTCGTAGAGGTAGCCAGGAGCATCAGATTCTTGCCCGCCCCTGCTCGAGTCTGTCTCGCTCCGGCCGCCTCTTGTTCCTCTGTCTCCCGCATCTGTTTATCGCTGTATTGCGGCTCGTAGAGGTAGCCAGGAGCATCAGATTCTTGCCCGCCCCTGCTCGAGTATGTCTCGCTCCGGCCGCCTCTTGTTCCTCTGTCTCCCGCATCTGTTTATCGCTGTATTGCGGCTCGTAGAGGTAGCCAGGAGCATCAGATTCTTGCCCGCCCCTGCTCGAGTCTGTCTCGCTCCGGCCGCCTCTTGTTCCTCTGTCTCCCACATCTGTTTATCACTGTATTGCAGCTCGTAGAGGTAGCCGCGAGCATCAGATTCTTGCCCGCCCCTGCTCGAGTCTGTCTCGCTCCGGCCGCCTCTTGTTCCTCTGTCTCCCACATCTGTTTATCACTGTATTGCAGCTCGTAGAGGTAGCCAGGAGCATCAGATTCTCGCCCGCCCCAACTCGAGTCTGTCTTGCTCCAGCCGCCTCTTGTTCCTCTGTCTCCCACATCTGTTTATTGCTGTATTGCGGCTCGTACAGGTAGCCGCGAGCATCAGATTCTCGCCTGCCCCAGCTCGAGTCTGGCCAGGTTCAGGTCTCGCTCCGGCCGCCTCTTGTTCCTCCTTTTCCTGTGACTGTTTATTGCTGTATTGCGGCTCGTACAGGTAGCCGGGAGCATCAGATTCTCGCCCGCCCCAGCTCGAGTCTGAACGGGTTCAGGTCTCACACCGGCCGCCTCTTGTTCCTCCATCTCCCGCAACTGTTTATCGCTGAATTGCGTATCACACAGGTAGCCGTGAGCATCAGATTCTCGCAACAGATCTTCAAAATCCCCTTCTGCCATTTCAACTTCAAAACTACTTTCCACCATCGTGATTAGCCTACTATTACAAACTTTCTACACAGGACCAGAGGCAAGAGCCCGTTAGCTTAGCTTCTACAGAAGATGGCTGACACGATCTTTACAATCTGTGAGTGAGATCCCGCCCCATATGGGCGTGTTTGAAAACATGCGGAACGCTGGCTTGTAGTCTTTAGCCTCTGGCCCAAATATCCTCCGATGACGCAAAATGACGATTTTTGCGTCATCGGAGGATTTTTTTTC